TTATGAATCCAAATTTTATGTTAGATTAGATATTAGTAGCCAAGGAACTGGATTTATTGTTATCAGTAATGGCAATGCACACTATGTACTGAATCTCCAGTATGTACTAAGCACTGTGCTAGGGGACTCACGTGCATTCATTCATGTGACCTTTCCTAAGGCCATTCAGATAGCAGAGTTAGATCTAAAACCAGGCCAGGTAACCCTGACATTCCTTTGCCTAAATCCATATTTACAATAAACCTTTTGAAATAAAATGGGCAAATGTTGTTCCTTGGTTATAGTACTATTTTCCCAATGGAGAAAATCAAAATGAATGAAATTAGTTTTTACGATGTAGAGACCTGTTGCTGAGACCTTTGCATATAAGTGACAGAACTGTTCTTACGTGTAATGGTTTGAAAAGTAAGGTAAGCAGAGAGAAACAATGATAAAAATGTTTCCAAGGTCATATTTTCCGACTTGCAAAAGACCATCAGTTAAAAACAAGGTACAATGTATGTTGTCAAAGCCTTTTGAAGGGTAGCTACAGGGAAAGTTTTTTTTTTTTTGGTAGAAAGATCTCTGATATAATTTATGTATTCTAATTAAACTCTGTGATGACAATAAAAGGAAGGTAAGCATTACTTCACATATTTTGCTAATGGGAAAGGTGAAATATTAATGTGATAATACTTGTCACTTAGCAAGACACTGGTGACAGAAGTAATAACACAGGGATGCTAGTGCCAGAATAGACTCTCTGTTCATCATTTATAATTTCCAACCAGCAATTAGTTTGCCCTAGATAATTTCAAGGCACAGAGTTGAGATGTACTGCGCAATTTAAAATGTAAGGAAGGTGGTTGGTAGACTGTCATGACAGAATATGATCATATCCTTTTTCAGAAGCACTAGTCCTTCTCTGTAGTGAAACGAGGTGTTGATAGCTTTTAAATTGGAGTCTTTCTGTGGTGATGGCCACAACAAACTTCTAAATATTGAGCACCTGTTATTATTCATGAAGTTTCATTTGAATGCAGTTTTCATTGGATTTAATTATTTCTTTTTATTCAAATGAATCTTTAGCATTCTTTTTATTTGTTTCTTTACATCCCGACCGCCATTTTATTTTTTATTACACACACACACACACCCATGGAGGCCAAAGGAGCTCATCGGATACCATGAAGCTGAAGGAAACGGTGCTTGTTAGTTATCCAACGTGGGCACTGGGAAACAAATACTAATCCTCTGCAAGAGCAGCACGTGCTCTTAATCATGGAGTCAAGTCTCCAGCCCAATCATTACGTTTTATACTTGGAATTATGCACTTGTAAACTCATATAAATTACTGTGAAATAAAATAAAATCCAAACTGGTATTACAATCCCAAAGCACTGATACTTACTACAAGGTCCCCATTTCCATATAAATCAAGGGTGAGGTGCTTGTTTTTCTTCTAAAAGACTAACTACCTTTTGTTGTTTTAATACTTACTGATTGACATTTTATCCTATGTAAGTAATTGAGGTTTCTCTATTAAAGACCCTTAGCAGTATCTATAGCCTAAGGTAACTTCTGATCTGTTTCAGCACATCTCTTTGCAAATGAAGAGCTGATGCCATCCTTCCAAATGGCACAGGAAAACAAATTGCACATACCTGTTGCATCCCTTGTAGGGCTTGCTGCAGAAGTTTCAGCTGCTCTTCCTTGTTTGGGTCATCTTCCCGGTGGGCTTTGCCTTGTTCTTGCTTGAGCAGTTCTACCTCATTCCGGTAGGCATCTAGCTGCCAGCGGAGGCTGTCATTTTCCTCCTTCAGAGCTTCTGCCTGTGACACTAAGGCTAAACAGTCAGTGGAAAATGTTAAACCTTATGTTTAGACGTTTTTGTGGTACACATGAGTGCTATGAAATCATGGCACTTTAAATCAATGTGTAGAAAAAGCAGCTTGATAAGGAATTTGAGGTCAGTTTTAGTTGTTCATGATAGTGAAAGATGGACACAAAACCAGAAAGTCTTGCTTTCATCAATGAAACGGGATTTCAATACACAAATATCTTCACTGTGGCTACTGTGGCTCACACTCCAAATGAAGTGTAACCATTTGCAAGCACCACCCAATACTTTCATTGAAATGGAGCAAGTGATAGGAACACTGTAATGACTAAATATAGGACTGATTGCCTTGAACAGATAACTGCCTACACAAAAATTTTGTTTAAAGATGTATATATATATATATATATATATATATATATATTGCATTTATTAATATTATAGAAGAAAAGTAACTTC